TCTTTATCACATTTGTTACATTTAAAACGTTTATCTTTTGACAAAGTCCTTGAAGTAGTAATAGGTCGACGAGTTGTATTTCTTGGGGAAGCTTTTCTGACAAATTTCTCACTATGGTGTAATTTCTTGTGACGGTTTAAACTTTTTTTATCAGTGAACGTTATGCTACAATCTTGACATTGGAAAGGTCTCTCTCCTCTGTGCACTATTTGATCATGAGTCTTTAAGTCATTCATACCGTCAAACCATTTGTTGCACTGCAAGCAGATCACACATGAAGAGTCCCCTAAGTCAGTGTAGGATGATCGCATGTCCTGAGCAGAATCATTGTCAACACATGAATTACTGGTTGTTGTTGGATAGTTGTCTGTTTTATAATCGTCTTCAGGTTCTTGTTTAATGTTGTTAATGTCAATTAATCCTTCACTGTTAACCATTTGCTGCTGACCGAGCCGGTAGCCACATGGTTGATCCACAGCTGATGAATTGCTGGTCAATGATTGCTTGATGTTTGCAGAACTATTTTCTATCATATCACAGCTCTTTCTCTCTTTCTTAATATCTCTACTGCCATCCATACTTGAATTGTTCTGTTGTTCAAAGGGTTGATTGCTTGGGTTTCCTGTGTCATGAGTAGATGTCACAGAACAAACTCCCGAAACAAGAGTAGAAAGCGAGAAAAGTTCTTCATTACCATCCATAATGATGTAGGGATTCTAACAACTTGAAAGTATTGAAATTTGGATGCCTTGTAATGATTTTCTAATACAAAAAAAAACAAATTTTGATTAAGAAAAGTTTGTATTTACTCATTTGAAAAGTAGATAGTGGTTTTAAAATGTTGAGATGTAATAATGCAATGACGCAAGACATCAGTTAATATTTCATGCAATACCTGACGCAATACATGTACATACCCTAAACCTAACTGTAATACATTAGTTAGTGCCAATTCATGGGGTCTTACATAATGTACTGACCAAGAAATCAATGTACAAAGTGTCCAACATCAATGAAACGTGCACAAAGATATATCAAAGTTTCAAATCTTGCATTTAGATTGTGAGATGAGGTGAGAGAGCCGATGTCAAACATCACTCTCAACAAAACCTGACAAAACCTTTTTCATATTTCAAATATAACTTTTAAGAGACTACAAAATCTATAGTAAACATTCACTGTTTGGCAAGAGATGCCCACCACTACATTTCATTGGAAAATCTTATCAGATCTGAACACAGGTACCCCAAGATTTGCATTTTAAAGCAGTGCAGTTTACATGTCCAAAAAATCAAAATTAAAATACATGAAAATGAAAGTTCAGCAAAGACATGTAGAATGAATGTYCACGAAATATATGGAAAAATGAAAATGACAGGCAGAAATCTTTTTCAYCATTTTTCCTCAAAAATACTCCGTTTGGGCTTCCTGTGATCTGATGGTGTATCCACACAATAAAGATTGAGCACAATAAAGATTTACTCTATCMGCGTCGATTTAAGTTATTTGAAACACTGTCATGTCCAACCAGCATTTTAACCATATTTGTTWAAGCAAATATCAGTTTAACCTTGGGTTTATAAGGCAAATCAACACTAACGTCCGATGCCTTTGGAATCGTAAAACTTTTGCTATTYGCCAAGTCGAATCTTGAGCATTATTATAMAAGATATACGGTCTRTCTAAGCCCGAATAACTATCAACTGATATTCTAAARTTCTCACCTAAACAGAGTGTTAAAATCCACAATAAAATCGCGTTAAACTCCACCATTTAGAAACGTATGATCTAAATGCCAAGATACTTCGAGCTTCAGCTCTTTCCAGCCTTCACGTCCTTGAGCTAAACAGGAARCCCGAGCTCTCCAAGAAGCCCACAAGTTTATGCCGTTATGATTTCTGGATCTTTATTGGGATATTGATATAAGTGAGCTAAAATCAGTAGGATCTGATAGCAGCAAACGGAATTTCCCACCCAATACAAAGTTTGGAAGCTTATCAAAAAGAATATTTTAACTCCTTGTTTGTGATAAATCAAAAGATAATTTTATGTTTCCACGGTATGAAAAGCGATATGCTTTTTTATTCTTTTTTTACATGAGTATTTGGAGAACTTGTTATTTTTATTTATCATGAAAATATCGCACGTAATTTTCCTATCACACTCCAGTCACACTCCCCCAAAGTAGATTTTTCTCCTTCAATACGAGGCTCAAARTATCAGAGGATKCTGATTGGCTGATGAMTCCTAGATAAAAACATTACTCAACCTTGGCCGTTCAAAAACGACGCCATTTTGATAATATCTCCTGAACAATTTTTCCGAGTGCAATCCAAGCCATCCTACCAAAATAAACTAAAGTATATCTCGAAGACATCAATTTTCGACTTSGACAAGTACTAATCTTATCTCCGGACAAGCTATTTTTGTCGTGTTGCTTATTGTGTAGCATAAAAGATGGCTTGTGCGACATTGAAACGGTCATATGAATTTGACCCACTACTGAGTCCACAACCATCGTCGAAAAGACGAAGATGCATACCAATGTCTACTCCATCGTCGAGTCCGAGTGCTAGCCCTACTACTAAAGATTCTGCTTTCGCAGATGTGACTCCRAGAATAAGTCAAGGTAGGTTTTTTTGTATGATATAAGTAGGTTAAGCTTATGGTTGCTGTTGTTGTCCTTTCCTGCGGATAAACATCACGACGAACTCTGCACGTCATAGAAAGCTTTCAAACAATTTTCTTGTCTCGTACATCAACTAGTCAGTGTTACTATAGTTCTGATCTTTTGTAAAACTCTAGAAGTACATGTGCTCAAAGACTTCGTTCGTTGATCCTGAATTCGCCTGTTGTTTTGAAAAGAAACTCTTTTCAGCAACACAAAACTCGCATGTCGCGAACCCTTACTAATAAACTTTTAACGAATTCCTCTCAAGAGTTAAAAGAGGAGTAGGAGATAGGTTTCAAATGAGATATTTATTTCACACAACGTGATCCTCAGGGCCYTGAAACAAAAGCTAGTATGAATTTCGTCTGGTCATTGTTCATGGGCCAGATTTCTTGTCTTCTGTGAGGGTGGATACCACGTATTTTGCATTTCAAATTCGGCTTTGTTGTTGGTCATATCCAAGTTGAAATCAGAATGTTTCMGAGGAATATTACTTCTAAAATTTCTTTATTCATAACTGGTCTCAGAAACGGCCAGCTTGGAAAATCTGGATGTCTGAAATGTTATGAATTCTTTTCGGGTTTTTTTTCTTTGTAGTTTATACTTTACATCCAATAAATCTAAATGTGCTATGTATAGCCCATGAATTTTTCCCATTTTTTTTTTATTTCATTTTACCGGTGCAACTGTGCTAAACCTAAGGATCCTTCAGTAAGGTGCAAAGATTGTTTCTCATTTTGGTTTATGGTAATCATTTGGAGATAAAGATTCCACATGCATAAAACATAGTCTTGTGGCTTAAATCCAATTTTAGTTTTGAAAAAAGCTAGCAMAATACAAAGCAATATCTTGCTTTGGGCCTAGAAATCTATTAATAGTTGCCTATTTCTGCAGGTGTTGTCATTATAGGCCACTGAATGATTTTGTTGTTTCAAAATATACACCACAGCTCAATATTAATCCCTGYACAACAGTCGTATCCTTCTTAGAATGGCATAGGTTGGTTTAATTCATCCTAAACATCAAACAAAGCTTCGGATGTTACTGATAGCAAAARTTGCACTTCAATGCCTAGGTGACGAATGTATGGGTTGAAGTGATTCATGTTGAATCCATAGATTTTCAAGTCGCTAAGTAATATAATATTTGACACAGCCTTGATGGGAACCATTGAAACAAAACAACAATGGGTTCATCCTTGTRCTTGTTTAGACACAAATTGGCATAATATCTATGGATGACAAAAACTCAGAAAAAAAAGAATCGATATTTAGCAAAGGGAGGCAACCATTAATCCCATTTTATTCAGGTTCATAAAGGAGAACTTAGAAAAGGATACAATTAGTTTTAGATAAGTCTCACCCAGTATTGCTCTTGTGAACTTGAAGTGCATATGAAAGATAAGGCTTTTTGCCAAATTACAGCATATTCAATTTTTCTGTAAAACACTATTAATGTTTACTTTTTTGTATGAAATAAAATTGGCATGTGATTCAGGGTCAAATTCTTGCTCACTTTTTGTCCTGTAGAGAGTTAGGTCAGCATTATTACTGACAAGCAAATATTCGATGAAAAGCAAGGGAAAGTGTACAACATTTCATGCTATATGTTAAACTGTTTTCGTTTTTAAAATCACCTCTTTCGACACACTACACCAAGCATGAAATTTACAAACTCTTTAGTGATCAGATTTAAAAAGATTTCTAGAAAAAAAGTGTACAACAGCATTTGTCATTGGGCAGGGCTGGAAATAACGGCCGGTCAAAGGACAATGTCCTTCCAAATTTGCTAGATGACTGGCCAAATCAGGTTTTGAAAGGGCATATGGACCTGCCACATTTTAGACAAATAAATTCTCAAATCCCATAAAAAATCTTTTACACACATTAAAATGCTTGTCGATCTTTCTGGATACAAAAACGTATGAGTTAAAAGAAAATAACAGTATAACAAATGTTTTGTCCTTTCAAAACTTGACATGACCTTCCAAAAATGAATTTGGAAGGACATCTTGTCCTGCATGTCTGGTTGTTATTTCGAGCCCTGTTGGGTGTTGTCATTATATGCTGTCTGGTATGTCTTTTCAACTACAATTGTGCCAAAGACCAACATTAATCTATTTGTTTTGAACAATATGACATATTTTAGAGGAAAAAGTAGACAGTCAAATGATTATAACACACTAGAGTTTTTATTGATTTTTGAAGTTGAACTTCTTTAAAAAAAAATCATGTTGTATTCTCTCTTAGAACAACTTGCAACCAATATTCACTTGGAATGGAAGAGATTGCAGCGCCGTAAGCATCTCAAAGCACCAAGTTCAAACTCTGTTGAAGCTATGTCTACAGTAATCTCATCACCAAGTTCATCGCCAACAAGAAAGGATCAGCCTTTATTCACCTTGAAACAGGTTTCACTGATATGTGAAAGACTCCTCAAAGAAAGAGATACTCAACTTAGAGAGCAGTATGATAAAGTACTCAACAATAAATTATCAGGTACTATAGAATTGAGAGAACTTAAACTCAGGCTTAAGAGTTGATTCTCACCCTTATTCCAGGTGTTCTCAATAGTCTGGTTTCCTCCCTCGGGCAAAAACTAGCAAAGTCCCTACTTAGAATTCTCTTTCCTTCTAGAAATATAATTTAAGTATCTTTTCATTGACCTTGTTCTTATCCCATTCTGTTTTTGCAGAGCAATACGATGCTTTTGTAAAATTCAACTATGATCARGTACAGCGAAGATTTGAAAGATCAGCGCCTACATGTAAGTAACATCAGTTCATTCACGTCAGAGTTTGTATAAGTAATTTTTCATTTGAAATTTACTCATTAGTGGGTTGGTGTTATTGCTTGGCACTCTTGATGGTTATTCTCCAACTTGTAGATTGAAAGAAAATTGATTTTTAGATATCATCACAGGAATCTTAAACAAAGCCTGAAAATTAATTTTGAATGAAAAATCTTATAAGAATAATAAGACAGGCCCTTCATAAACTCAGTAATACTTTTGCAGTGTTATTTAAAAAAATGTGATTCTTCAATTCCAACCTAGTATGCTGTGACCACGCTCCCTCTCTGCAAAGCACTAAAGAAAAAAAGAAGTGCAATTGAGTGAAAAAAATTCCTAATGGATTTCTTTTATTTCCATTGTAGATGTTTCCTGATTTTATTGTTTACAATACAATTTTAACTGCAGAAGTCAATCATCAAGGATTCTCAACAACATTAAGTATATAAATCTAGTGCATTTATAAAACTGTTTAAAAGGTATCTGCATGCTATTGCAACAAATGCAACAGCATGTTGAATATAATGCACATTTGTGCTTGAAATGTACTTTTGTATAAAATAACTATTATGTTTTGATAAAACTGTTGAAAGATTTCTGGAAAAAAACACTAAACCTATGAGCAAGAAACTTGAAAGATCTCTTGAATTCAGATTAGAACGTTCTTTATCAAATGTTTGTGCAACAAAATTGCTCAAAAGTTCACAAAGTTTTCTTTTCTAATGTTGTATTAAATTGTTATATTTCAAATAAATATTTTCATTTTGAAGGGGCAGTATATGTGAGAAACTTTACAATAGATTTATTAGTTCAT